AATAGATGATTTAATACACAAGAAATTTTTATTTTTAAGTCATCATGCTGCCAAATTTTTTTAAAATGTTGTCTTAATTTGTTCAAATTTATTTTTAATCCGGTTATTCAATTTTCATGTTGCATGTTTCTAATTGGCTAGACCATATCCTTATTTTTTTAATTAGTTTCTTTGGATATCAATGGTTGTCTATTACTTGACTTGATGGATATCAATGAATTTCAATACACTACAAAAAAATTGACTTTCAGCGGTGACAAATGTCGTCACTGAAAGTCAAAAAATCACCGCTGAAAGTTTTTCAGCGGTAACAAAAAGTCGCCACAATGTCGCCGTGAGAGCTTCTATCGCTGATTCAATCTGTAGCGATAAAAAAAGTCGTCGCTGAAAGTTGAGAATCTGCGGCGACATTTGTTGTCGTCGAAAGTCAAAAAGTTGTCACTGAAAGTTTTCCGCGGCGACAAAAAGTCACCACAATGTCGCCGCGAAAGCTCTTGTCACTAATTCAATCTACGGCGATAATAAAAGTCACCGCTGAAAGTTGAGAATCAGTAGCAACAATTGTCGCCGCAGAAACCACGCATCAGCGGCGACTATTTCTATCGCCGCTGAAAGTCAACTTTCAGTGGCGACACTTAAAAGTTGCCGCTGATTTTCAACTTTCAGCGGCAACAGTAAAAGTCACTGTTGAAAGTCTAACAATCAGTGGCCACTATATTTTGTCGCCGCTGAAGCTACCAAAAAGTTGTCGCTAAAAAGTAATGTTAGTTTACTTACACACATGGCACCACATCACCGTCCATATGGCGCCCCACCTCACGCCACATGGTGCCATGTCACCTCCACGTAAGGCCCCACCTCGCACCACGTGTCGCCCTCACCTCACGCGACACCATGTCACTCTCCATGTGTCGCTCTCACCACACACCATTTGGCGCCATGTCACCCTCCACATAGGGGCCCACCTCACACCACGTGACGCCATGTCATCCTCCATGTGTCGCCCCTCACCTCACGCCACGTGGCCCCATGTCACTCTCCATGTGTCGCTCTCACCACACGCCACGTGTCATTATGTCATCAATTTATATTTTCATTTTGAAAGTTGTCTCCTCCAAGGTTTGAACTCGTGACCTCCTTCTTTTGTGTCCAACCATTTTGCCACTGAGCTGGATGAACCTGTAGTCTATTATTGCATAATTAAATATATATATATATATATACACATATTATTAAACTATACAAACACACACATATATTAAATATTAAATATTATAAAATATCATTACTATCCTTAAATACTTCAATTAATTCTTTCAATTTATAAAATTATAAATTATATTATTTATTTTGTTTAAAGTAAACTATAAATATAATTGATACAATATAATTTGTATTATTTATTTTAATTTTTTTACTTCTTGAGGTTGTTATATTATTTATTTTAATATTCATATTTATAATTATAATATAAAAAATATCTAAGAATAAATAGTAAAAATACTGATGATTATACATTAGTAAAAAAATTATACAAATGCAAACAATCAGCAGCGACACTAAAAAGTCGCCGCTAAAAAACCACTTTTAGCGGTGACTTTCAGGTCGCTGCTAAAACTTGCAATAAAATTTTTTAAAAAAAATTAAAAAATGGTGACAATCAGTGGCGATACTAAAAAGTCACCGCTGAAGCTTGCAACATAATTTTTTAAAAAGAAATAAAAAATACTGACAATCAGCGACGACACTAAAAAGTCACCGCTGAAAGTTCACTTTCAGTGGCAACTTTTATGTCACCGTTGAAGCTTGCAACATAATTTTTTAAAAGAACTAAAAAATGTTGATAATCAGCGGCGACACTAAAAGATCGCCGCTGAAACTTGCAACATAATTTTTAAAAAAAATTATAAAAATGGCCAAATCTTTCACATTTATAACAAACTATTTCTATTTTATATTTTTTAAAATTATCTTTTCTAAAGGTTTTATAATATTAATTATTTATCCATATGTTAAAATAGTAGAATTTATTGTTCTTCGTTATAACTAGTAAAATAAAAGCAGAAGAAAATATAGAAAATGAAATAGATAACACCCCTTTTGAAATAAATCTACAAAGATACATGAACATAATATCACATATAACTTATTAAAAATGATATTGCCAAGTAAGTTTAGTAACAAACAGAGAATATTCAAGAAATATAATATTCAAAAATCCTGTGAAAGAATAGGAAAATTAGGCAGTGGTGTTCCTATTAAGCTAAGGAAGAACAATATCAATAGAAAATCAAACTTGTAGAAATAGAAATATGAGATGGTTCGATAGGATATTAGGATCTAAGTCAAAAAAGAAGAATAAGATAAGTCTTAAGAGTCTTAGTCTATAGCCAAATAGGAATAGTGAACCTGAAAGAAAAGTAGAAGAGGTAGAAATAAAGAAATACATTATAAAAGAATTGAAGAACAAATAGCAATCTCAAAAATAGAAAATAGAATAAATTAAATAAGAGAAAAATTTGAAAGAGATATTTGTACAGAATATCCAAATTCTTTTTGAAATAGAAAAAGATACAAGAAATCACGGGTGAAAAACAAATATGACAAAAGAAGAAAAAGAAAAAGCAAAAGAAAAACAAGAGTTGAATCTTGTCAAAAAATAATTTAAGCAAAAAAAAAAGGTAATTAAGTGAAGCAAATCAAAAGAGCTAATTTAACCATGATTTTTCTAAACTTTTATTAAATTAGAAGACTTTTGATTTTGCAGGCATTGAGTTAAATGGCCCCTTCTCTATTAAATGGCCCCTTCTCTATCTCTTAATATAAATCTCTCTCCACTTATAATATTACAACATATGTATGTGTATCTATGCATACATGCATATATACATACAACTTGGTTAACTAAATGGAACTGAAAATAAATTAAAATTTAAATAAAAAGAACATCATGAAATTAGTAAAACAAAAATATATTCTTTCCTATGAAAAATACTTTTATCTAATTTTGAAAATACAAAAAAATGTTGACAATCAGCGGCGACACTAAAAAGTCACCGCTGAAGCTTGCAACATAATTTTTTAAAAGAATTAAAAAATGCTGACAATTAGCGGCGATACTAAAAAGTTTTCGCTGAAAGTCAACTTTCAGCGGCGACAGTAAAAGTCGCTGCTGAAAGTCTAACAATACTTTCAGCGGCGACAATAAAAGTTGCCGTTGAAAGTCTAACAATCAATGGTGACTATATCTTGTCGCCGCTGAAAGTGTGACTTTCAGCGGCGACTTTTTAGTGTCGCCGCTAAAAGTCGCTGCTGAAAGTCTTTTTTTTTGTAGTAATAGGAATAAGGTATGGATCAAAAGTGGATATTCTCTAATCAGTTGTCAAAGGAATATAAGGATGGGGTGGAAGAGTTTATTGGTTTTGTAGTTGAGCATGTAAAATATCTAAACAAAATTGTGTCCTTGTTTAGCTTGTTACTATAAAAAGCGAATTACTTCGACTAAGTTGCTAGATCATTTAATATGTTATAGTATTGATCAAGGTTATACACACTAGACAAGGCATGGGGAGATAAATGATGTATCGAGCAAAAAGGTGCATACCATGAGCTCTTTTAAGAGATAAGATACAAGCGATGACATTAACACCAATAATGTGTGAGACAATCATTTTGATGAAATGCTAAATGCAATAGAGGATGATCTTCATGATTGCCCTCAAATGTTTGAAAGGTTTATAAATGATTCAAAGAAACAACTATATCTGAGTTGTACTAAAACACCAAATTATCAGCAATTCTGATATTGTGCAATTTGAAAGGTGCCTGTAAATGGACTGATAAAAATTTCACCTTATTGCTTGATGCTTTAAAATATATATTCCCTGTTGGTAATGAACTTCCCACCAAGATATATGAGGCCATGCAAATGCTTTGGTTTAGACTATGAGAAAATACATACATGTTCTAATAATTGCATCTTATTTTGTACTGAGTACGATTCTTTAGAAAAGTACTTTAAATGTGAAGCATTATGATATGGAAAGAAATCAAGTCCTTCGAAGGTACTATATATTATGAAATTTATGAAGAATGTAATTACTTATGGTCAAACTTTTGTCCCATTTGAGGTATAAAAATTTATTACTTAAGAAAACACCAATTCTGTTGATCATATTAGGGAGAGAGGTGGCATTTCAACCAGTAGGAAATGCCACCTCTTTGATTTTTTAAAAAAAAAACTCAAAGAGATGATGTTTGTCAAACAAAACACCCTTGCTCTTACATCAATCTCATGACATTTCATTAATTAATGAAACGTCACCTGAGATCACCTGAGACCTATTATAGCATTGAATCTTATAGCATTTTATAATCACCATGAAACTTAAATTTTAAACGTCACCAAAGCCCATTTCTATGGAGAGACAACTTTTTTTCGTTATGAGTTTGTGCGTCGTAGCACACTATATACATGCCTCGGCCATGGTGCGGACATGAGATTGCTTTCTCTATACCAAATGTGGCAACACATGTGTCTTATGCCAAGACATATGAGTCCAGTTGGGCAAAAATGATTCTTTTACCCCTGTTTTCCATTGTGTTATGTATATGCATTTCTAAATGCTTCCATTGTATATAAATACTTATATTTTGAAGTTTTACTATGTTTTTAAAGATCTTTGGGATACCTCATTTTAAAAGAGTTATTTTCAATATTTTTACTACATAAATTTTGATAATTAAAGAGTTTAAGAACTCCTAATCACTTTTTTGTGTTAAGTGTGGGTACAATTTGGTAACATTAGGGCAGACATTACAACTGATCCTATCTTGGTTTGACATTTGAAGAAAGCCGTCTATGGCTTAAAACAGGCCCTAGAGCAAGGTTCACAAAACTTACTACTACACTATGTTCTCTTGGTTTTATTCAAGCCAAATATGATATATGTTTGTTTACGAGAGTTACTAGTAAGACTGCTCTTTACTCGCTGATCTATATGGATGACCTAGTTCTTACTGGAAGTGATGACGCTAAGGTTCAACAGGTCATTTCTCTGATGAGTTCTACTTTCTCTCTTAAGGTGCTTGGAGAATTATCTTTCTTTTTGGGAGTTGAATTTTGCTGTACAGACGTGGGTATACATTTAACTCAAAAGAAATACATCATATAATTACTCACCAAAACCAAGATGCTCTTCTTAGTTGCCAAACCTAGCTTTGATACCATATAAGACAACTAGGTTTAGAGAAAGATATGAGATAAATCTTTAATCTTCATCTCAATATGATCAAATTGATTACAACGACTGACTCTTATATGAAGTTAAGCCTCAGTAACAAGTTGGTAATGTATTACATTTACGTTTACATGCATTGGGCTTAGGCCCAATAACTAACAGCCCAATGAGTTATCATTCTAACAAGTTTATAGTACTTAAAAATTTCTGAAAATAAAAATCAATTAGAGCCCTGAAGTTTTGAAGCATGAAGAGTCCACAGATCATGGACATAGAGAAACAAATAATGTTTTCCGCAAATTCTAGATGAGACTTCGAGCAACGAGGAAGAAACACAAAAATCTTCTCAAAGCAACAGACCAAAGACATCAACAAAAGGGAAGAAGCAAAGCAGCACTGATGAAAGAAAAGAAATAACAGAGGTTGAATACAGTGGCAGTGACGGTGATGACAAGCAAGGTAGCGTTAGTGGAGGATGGCAACGGCGAAAGTAGATGGCGGTGGCGGCAAAACTCTAGGGTTACAGAAGTAAGAAGCGTGATTCGTGAAGCTGGAGGGAGAGATCTCCCCCCAAAGTGTGAAAGAGATGGCAATTACCAGCGGATACTAGACTTGATCTCAGCCAAAAGGCCGAGAATGTTTATTTGTTTTAAAAAATAAATAAATAAGAGAAACAAACAAGAGGAATAGCAAAATAGACGGCATAATAGGAGAGAGCTATGAGCATGAGGCTATAACAAAGCACAAGGTTTAGGATTACCCATGGCAATGTCATTGAGATTAGACTACGACGACTTCGCAAATTGGTTTCCAGGTGGTGGGCGCAAGTGACGATGATCTGAGTGTTGAAGAATAAGAACGCAAAGGCCAATCCAGCTGGACAGTTCTTGATGCCCTTTCATGAATCCGCCGTGCCTCTTGTGGAAAAGGAGTGCCCACTGTATTTGATCAGTGCCTTGTTTGAACAGTGTTGGTGAAGTATTCAGCAAAGCTTCGTAGGACAATGTTATAATGAGCATCGCTACTACTGGAAGTATTGCTTCATCAAACTTTCATTTCTCGGAATCTGCCTCTGCTATTTTCTTCCCGCTGCTTCAGGCTCCTCCTCGTCGTCCTTCTCCTCAATGGTTATACGAGTAATTTTCCTCCTTTACTATGATCTCATCCTCTTTATCCTGTATTTCCTGCCACCATGATAAATTAATTTTGGAAGTATGCATGTAAACATAAGCATTGTTAATTATTTTTTTGAGCCTTTTAGTTGTTTGTTTACATATTTTGGAAATAAGGGAAGTCTGTTAATTAGTGTTATTTGTATCATACTGATCGAAAGTAGTCATTATGTTATATATTGCATGTGGTTCGCGCGCGCGCGCGCGCGTTTGATGAATATGATAGTTAGCAAGGAGAATGTCCGGAGTCTTCAATTTATGACAGAAAGGTTTCCCCTCCAAATATTTTAGGGTAAAATGGTAATTTGGCTTTAACTTTGTAATCATAAACTTGTTTTTTTATGCATTTTTATCCCTAAATATTTAAAATCGTGCCAATTTCCTCTCATTGTTAACTTTTACTGTTAGTTAATAAAAAAAATTATAGAAAAAAGATCTCAAAATTTATTTGAAAAAAGGACAAAAAAATAATAGAAAAAGACATAAAATTACAAATAAAGAATATTTATATATTATTGGTAATTTTTGGATCATTTTCTATTCCTTTTGTTTAAAAATGTAAGACATTTTTAATCGAATCTCACTCTCAATAAAGTAGTTATCTACTTTCAAACTAACCCTATCTTTTCATATTTACCTCTATCAAACAACTTATAATAAATATAAAGTTACTCATCAATAGGAGCACTTAAAAAAAAAGACAATAATTACACCTCGAAAAACTAAAAATACCTTATATTTTTTTAACATCCAACTCTTCAAAAAATATCTTACATTTTTTAACGGAAGAAGTATAATTCTTTTGGTCTTTTACTATAATTTTAGAGGTCCTTTTCTATAATTTTCTAATCAACTAAAGATCAAAATTAATGGTGGGGTGATTATCCTTTTACCTAATATTTTATCAAGAAATTATTAAAAATTATGAGACTTAACTATCATTAATTATTAATTTATAATTTTGACTTTATATTTACAACTATTTGAATCAATATTTGTACTTTATCTTTTATTAATATTTTTTTTTTGGAGAACTTACCAACATGAGTAAGTCTTGCAGCAAGGACTAATCACTTATAATACAATGAATTAAGATTCAAATTAAATAAGAAAGTTTTCAATGAAACGTTATGCACATTAAAAAAATATTTTCCACGAACCTAAATGTCATTAAATAAAGTTTTGGGACTAATTGTTATATTTTTCTAGAAAATAGGATGAGTTTAATTAAGAGTCTTTGAGAAAATATTAAGAGTATAAATAGGAAAAGGAATGTTAAAATATTTTCAAAAAATAAAGAGATGTCTTTTTGAAAAGTCATACCTTTAACTCTTTATAAATTAAAGAATTTTTATGAGAAGGTTGACTGATAGGGAGTTATAATCACTAATGTCATATCTCTTTAATTTTAAAAGCATCTTTGAAAGGATATAAAGCTAAAAGGTATCACTTAGTAAAATGAAATATTATTTCAAAAAAACTCTACACATAAAAAGGATATTACTTTCCATAAAAAGTTATTGTAAATAATCCTTGATTAATAATAATTATTAAACAAACAATTTAAATTAATTTTTTTAACAGCACCAATGCACTATTTTTAGTGCATTCAATGTCTTTGTCTTTAAGTGCACTATAAATTAAATTAAATTATCACTTTATAAAAGCTATTGTTGTTTTGACTTGAGTTTTGAAGTGCAAAACTATGCATGCTCAAGGCTGATCAAGGTTGAATATCAAAAAAGTGCAGAATATAGTTAAGTTTAAATTTACTAGTATTTTTATATTACAAATGTCTTAATTCAGAATACATCATATAATATAGTGTGTACATAAACTGGTATAAAAGTATTCAAAACTGAGATGTTGAAATTTTTTTAACCCGGAATAATGGTGTCACTACCGGTGGAAGATCATACATCATACATGGTCTTTCTGTTCTTGTCCTTGACTCCAGCAAGCATCTAAAAATTCAGAGTACTGCTTTTGATCACTTTCACAGCTTCAAGTTGATTAGCCTTTATTGCTAAATGAAGAACTGTTTCTCGTTTCTCTGTCACACTTGTTCCACACACACAGGGAAAAACTTAACTGTTGGATTACACCAACTGATCTGCCTCTGAAAACTGCATAAAGTAGTGGAAGTCCAACCATCGTCGTCCTTCACAAGGCACTGTTTCATCACTTCTTCATCGTCATCATTGACATATTGCATTATTTACATATATTTTAGGACGATATTCTTGCATGATTGTATTCTTGGAGGATCAAGTCTTATATATTTAGGCATTTCTACGCCTTTAGAATCAATTAGGGTTCATTTATAACCTAAAAGTATTTTAGTCATTTTGACAATTTTTGGTAATTTTAGGATATTAGCTTAGTTTGTGTCTTTTATCTTTTTAAGATTAATAAAACAAGTTTAAGATTCAAATGCATTCTAGGTTACAAAAAAATATCAAAAGACATAAGTCATGGAATTTTTTAAGACAAAAACATTAATACTAAGCTGTCACATTTTATAACCTAGGAGCTTGAAAATGGTATTATATCTTAAAATTGGCTTTGAATTTTGATTTGCAATTTTGTACACATACTTTAATCATTTTTATGTGTATAATTGCATGTGCAAATAAGAATTTGGATGAAGATTAAATGGCCAAAAGATTAAATTACAAGACAAAGTATAAAGCTAGAAGATTTTAGAGTGACACTTGCAAGAGTTGATTCAAGAAGCTTTTTTGACACTAAGCATGGAGGATTTCAGCCAAGCAACTCGTAATCACCTTTTCATCATCTTTTTAGAAGTTTTTAGTAAATTCTAATCAAGTGTGAAGCATCTTACAAGAACTTTCAAGTTAACCTAGCTTGAATGGTGGTCACATTCATTCTTGAACCCCCTAACCAAGTTTACTAAGTAGTTTTAGATATTTTATGTCTTTAATCATCTAAAACCCATCATATTCTACTCATTTTACAACATCACAAGTTGAATATAAGGGTTTTGGTTCATGCACATACTCATTTCTACTTATTTTACACATCAAAATTCACACACATATTCTCTCTCACTTTTCTGAAATTTTCAACACCATTTCATCCAAATTTTCTCTCATTTCCCTCTACTTTCCCACACTTCCTTAGCCACAAACCTTCACCTCAAGCAAGTATTTAAGCCATGAAAGTCATCTCAAGAAGGATTCAAACTTAGATTCTAGGAGAATTCACCATGAAAGGTTAGATTCTCAAAGCTTTCTAAGGAAGATGAAGCCACATTTTAAGTTTTCCTAAATCTTTTCTCTTGCTTTCAATTGCTTTGAATTCTTATCCTCTCCTTTATTAATTCTATAATTCATGCTCTTGATGATTGATTCTAGATCTTAGATTAATCATTATGGCTGAAATTCATGTTCCAAAGAAAAGAAGATGTATATTTGATTTTTGAACTAATTATGCACTCTAAGTATTTGTGTTTATGCCTCAAGGTTTTTGATAAATGAATACTGTCACATTCCGAAAAATAGGAGTGACAGGCACAAAATGTGAACTATATCATACATTCTTTAAGCCTTAAAAAGAAATTTTTCTGTTACTGAAACATAATTATGTTTATATTAAATTATAACATGCATGATCATTTTTGTATTAGTAGAAGCTTCAATATTCTTGTAGAAATTTTAACAAAACCTCCTTTATAAATAGGATCTCCTAAAATATTTGCACATAATGTTTTAGACAAAATAACATTTCAATCAGGAGCTCAACTCCTTCTGGCCAACGGGCAAAATATATAACAAAATAAAGGATCTAACTACAGACTATGTGGAGTGCCTAGAGATAAATTTATAAAATGAAATTAATAATTCAACTTTTACATCAAAAGAAGGCTTCATCTTTAACTCCTCCAATTCTGATTAGTAATAGATCCCTCAATATTCAGTAGGAGGTTCAGTGTTAGCTACACTATCTGAGACCAAAATTATTTTTAATGAATAATGTTTCAATATTTATAAAATTTAAAAGAATGATATGAATAAACGACAATGATTATATAAATTAAAGGGATAACAATTTCATATAAAATGTTTCATAAACTTTGAATTCTATATAACCTTAAATAAAATCCTAAACCATTAAATTTATAATATCAAATATCATTACCACTTGATCTTAAGAAAACAAATAAATAAAATAAATAAATATAGTATCAATTACTAATTTCAACCAATGGGGTATGAAATCACCAAATAATTAAAATCATATTTTCTAGAGACTTATCAAAATAATTAACAAATGTGAACATATAGTCCACAAGGGTAATG